CCCCAGTGAGATGGAGACGCCCCATCAGGGCCCAGCCCCTACAGCCTATTCTCCAGGGCTCCATCCATTCCTGGTTTTACGAGTCCCCAGCAAAGGGGCCCCCAGCCCGTCCCTCAGGGAGCCGATTCCCCATCCGGATACATCTTCCCCTCCAGACTCTTTCATTGACATTTACTCTATATTGCCCCATTCTTCATGTCCCCCCATTCCTCCCAGGGATACCCCCGGGCCCCTCTCTCCCCTCCTTCGGCATCAGCCCCTCCAACTACCTGCACCAAAGATCTTCCCTGCCCCTTGGTTATCCTTTAGCTGAGCTAATTCGTGATCGGCTCGGCTGTCTGGAGGGGCAGAGGCCAACGCTCCCCCTGCACGTCCTGACTCCAGGAATTGGTTGTCCTACAGGATGGGGGGGCCTTAGGCCAAGCAGCAGAAACGCCCCCTCCCAGATAGGGTGGAGTGGGGGAGTTGCAGGGCGGGGAGGGCCTGGGAACCCCAGGTGTGAGCAGAAAGGGTAATCCCCCGCCGCGCCTGGGGAGGAGGGTGCATTGGGAGGGGAAGCTGAGCGTACTGGCTGATGAAACCCAAGACTGGAGACACACCGGATCCCCTCTCCTCCCCACCCAGTGGCTGGCGTGCAGAGATGCCCTGGCAGGCCCCACCCTCCCCAAGAGCTGCTGCACGAACCTCAGCTCGGACCCCGCTGGTCCCACGGGCGGGAGCTGTGCACAGCACCGGCTTAAGCCCGTAATCCCACCCTTGCTTAGTAGCTGCATCAGGAGCCTCATTAATCCCCCCAGTGAGAGCCCCGGCCCTATATTTAACACGGCGGCAGGCTGGACTCAGCCATGTTCACACGCCACCAGGCTGCTGTAAATCCAAGTGGGGAGGACGCCAGGGAGGGCGACCGTACGGTCGACTCCCTGCTTCAGGGCCATTTGGGCAGCATGTGGCTAAACTACTGTTTGGGTAGGCAGCCATCCCTCTCCGTAGTGCAGCCACCTCTGGGGTGGGGCGGGGCAGTTGTTTAGCGGCCGTGCAGCAGCGCTGCACAGGGACTGTTCACCCCAGCACTGAAACGCAGCCACCTCTGGGGTGGGGCAGCTGGGGAAAACCTCACAGCGATGCAGCACGGGGGTCACTCACCCAGCACTGAAATGCAGCCACCTCTGGGGTGGGGCAGCTGGGGAACAACCTCACAGCGATGCAGCACGGGGGTCACTCGCCCAGCGCTGAAATGCAGCCACCTCTGGGGTGGGGTGGAGCAGTCATTTAACAGCTGCCCAGCAACTGACTGGGACAGGAAATGAAGGAGAATCCCATAGCTCAGAACGAGAGCAAGGAGGGATTTAGGGAGGAAAAAAATCATTACCCACATTACATTTTGCATCTGGAATTAACTCTAGGGCCAGCGCTGACTGCGAGGGGACAGCGCCCCCACACCATTCCCTGCAGCACAGCGCCCCCAGCACTGCACTGGGGTCCGCACTGACTTGCACCTCAACCCCGCTGCTTGCAGCCCAGTGACCCCTAGTGCCACACTGGGGCATTGGGGTCAGCACTGACTTAGAGGGACCAGCACCATCTGTTGAGCCACATCCCCCGGAGGGGGGGATTTCCTCAGAGGTCTCCCATCCAAACAAGCGCCCCAGCCCAACCTTGCACAGCTTGGCTCCTAGCCCGGGGCGCAAGGGCAAGACACACAAGGCTTGTTTGACCAGCCGAGCTCACTGATCAGTATTGACTTGGGATGACGGTGGCGAGATCTGGCGGCCAAGCCAGGAAAGTCAGGCGGCTGTGATCCAGGGCCAGCTGGAAGGAGGGCCCCCGGGGAGGAAGAACCGGGGTGTCCATCTGTCTCTGCTTGGCAGGACTCGGGCGGAGATTCGCACCACGGCTGCTTAAGCCTGTCCATCAGTTGGATTCACTGGAGCACACACCTTGGATCCTTGGGGAGGGGTAGACTAGGCTGCGCCCCACGGAATCCCAGCGGCGTAAGGGATGGGGGCAGAGGCATAGGGTGAGGTCAGCTGGGAATATTTTGGCGGGGGGGGGGGGGGGGAAACCAGGCCGCGGGGGTTGAAGAACAGAAAATCCCAGGCTCTACCCAGTCCTGGTTTGAAGCATCGCCAGCCCTGGGGTCTGATCTAGCACAGAGAGGGGGGGTGTGAAGAAGACACTAGGATAGATGGGCCCCACTGATGATTTCAGTGGGACAAGAGGGCCCGCTGGTCTGATGGGCGGCGATCCCACGCCAGAGAGGCCCGCTCCAGCACAACGGCTGGCCCCGCGTCCCTCTCAGACAAGCTAACAGTTGTTCTAAAGCAGCGGCTCGGCTCAGACATGCGAGCTGGAGCAGCAAGTTGCATTTTTTCCACCTGGCTCGCCAGGGCAGGGGAGGATTGAGCCGGCGGGTTTGGGAGCTGCTGACAGTGCAGAGAAAGGGCAGTAAGGGAGGTGGGGAAAGCAGGTCCATGGAAGGGCAAGAAAACCAGCTCCCCTTCCTCTGCATGCTACTGCTCCCAGCGTGGCTCCCAGACAGAGCTGTTGAGTTTCAGGACAGTGCAAAACTTCTCCTCCCATTAGCCCAGCACGGGTGCAGGAGGGCGAGCGAGCAGGACACTAGTCTGGCTCCTCGCTAGCAGTGGGGAGTGCAGGGCTAAATTCCACCCCCAGGGAATGCAGGAGGCGGAAGCAGAAGGGGGACCAGGTCCTCGTACATTGGGCCATTCAGTTGCTAATGTGCCAGCCATGGGGTTAAACAGCCCAACTAGGAACACAGCAGAGGGGACTGGATTATCCAGGCCAAGCAGCCCATAGTGCCAAGCTGTGGAGACAGGGAGCATGTGCCAGGCTAGGGACAGCAGCACAGCGCCCCCTAGTGCAGGCCCAGAGGGTGACAGAGTGCATCCCAGGT